TCAGATTTCTAGCCTGGGCCAAGTAAGTTGGGGATCCCGAGAGAGAGAAAGAGGGAGAGGGAGAGAGAGAGAGAGAGAGAGAGAGAGAGAGAGAGAGAGAGAGAGAATAAAAATCCTTCACAATAGTAAAGATTTCAAAATGATAATCATAAAAACTTTGAAAAACTGTAACCACATAAAGCCTAATTTTAATGTATACAGTAGAATGATTTAAAGCTAAGTGTTATTTTCCATTACCGTGGTACCTCGGGTTAAGTACTTAATTCATTCCGGAGGTCCGTTCTTAACCTGAAACTGTTCTTAACCTGAAGCACCACTTTAGCTGATGAGGCCTCCTGCTGCCGCTGCGCTGCCGGAGCACGATTTCTGTTCTCATCCTGAAGCAAAGTTCTTAACCTGAAGCACTATTTTTGGGTTAGCGGAGTCTGTAACCTGAAGCGTATGTAACCTGAGGTACCACTGTATTAGAACAGAGATCACTGATACTCTATTTTGTAGTCTTTAAGACCGAGCACTGTGTACCTACACATACATGTTCACTAGAATGAGGCAGAAAAAAACAAAATCAAAACCTGACCTTCAATATCTTAAAATGCAATTTGATTGAATTTTCAAATGAACATCCAGGGCAGGTGTACATTTTTGAAATAGTAGTTCGATCTAAATAAACCTCCATTGCATTTTGAAGTCTATGAAGCCTATGTTACTTTGAACAAATAACTTTTTGCCTCACTGACAGTTAAGGAGAGTGTTAGGCCAGCAGGAAGGAGCAAACCATTAGTCAAATACAGTCTACAAAGTTGGAAAACTCTGGTTAGTATAAACTTACTGTAATGAGAAAACAACATATCCTGACTACAGAAGACTTTTGAAGCAAGAAATGCAAGGTGCAGGTGTGGGAAAGAGATGATATAGACAGTTCTTTACACTACACTCCAGCAAAATGTCGTTACCTTGGACCAATACCAGCTTATTTTCCTAGTTTTGCATTCAGAGCCATTTACTGGAACGTGCTGGTTTTATTCCCCCACCCCATTTTTACTTTATGCTATACAGTATGCTCAAATATTTAGCTACACAAAGCACCTCAGCCTACTGGTTCCAACAGCAACACCTTTAAGTATGTAACACATTTGCCGAACACAAAAAGTCTTCTGCATACAAACATTTCTTTATAATAGCTATATGACATGTACAGTGGTACCTCGGGTTAAGTACTTAATTCATCCCCGAGGTCGGTTCTTAACCTGAAACTGTTCTTAACCTGAGGTACCACTTCAGCTAATGGGGCCTCCTGCTGCTGCTGCACCGCCAGAGCAAGATTTATGTTCTCATCCTGAAGCAAAGTTCTTAACCCGAGGTACTATTTCTGGGTTAGCGGAGTCTGTAACCTGAAGCGTATGTAACCCGAGATACCACTGTAGTTTTACTGAGGCATATTGGCTATTTTACTCACAGAAACAAGGAATCCTGTAACAGAGCTAACTAGGCAAATATTTTCAACAGTGCTGCTTTTAGCCATTGACAATGGATAGAGACAAAGACTCCAAAATAATGTGATGAGGTGGGAGAAATTGCTGAGAATTTAGGAGAGACTTAATGTCTTTCTTTGTAGATGAACATATCATCCTAAGAAGAGCCTGCTAGATCAGGCCAATGGCTCATCTAGTTCAGCATCCTGATCTCACAGGATGCCTGATGCCTATGGGAAGCCGGGACATGAATAGCACTTCCTCACCCACCCACCCATTTTTTACACTTAAGAAAAGCATCCCTGTCCACAAATCATGACTGGCAAGACTCTTTTTATCTCTACAGGCTCCCGAGTTCCTTCTAGCTCTCTTTTCCTATTCCTGCGCCTGATCGTCATGGAAATATGCTATGTAGCATCATTTCCGTAAGGATCTGACTGGGACAGGAAGGAAAGGAGGACTCTGGAGCTTATGGGGGCAGAAAGTCATGCTAGCTCTCATCAGTGACAAGACAAGCAGTTTTTTTTTTTTTTTTTAATTTATTTATTGCATTAGCCGAGTGGCCATAGCATGATATACATTGAAATAACAACATAAAATGGGGGTGGGGAGGTAAAGGTAGACATCGTCCTGGGCGAATACTTAAAGAAAGTGGAAAAAAAAAAAAACAAACAAAAAAAACAACAACAAAAGCTGCTGAGGCTGGAGGAGGACCGTTAAAGGGTCCTACAGCTCCTCAGATTAGTCCTAACTCGATTGTCCTTGTACAATAAGGCTACTTGGAACTTCGTTCGGTTGTGCGGCGTATCGACTGCATCTATGGTGCTAAGGAAGAAGTTAGTGCCGCTTTCCTCTTCATCACACTAAGCAGGAAATTAGCTGTCATCTCAGTAATCCAACAATCAGAATCCTGCAAAAAGAGGGACACTATCCAAGGCTGGATTGGGAGATGGAACTTATTCACGAGGGGAGTTAAAACCGAGATCTTTCATCTGTCCAGTTGGGACAGAAGAGCATTACATGTTCCATAGTCTCCAGGGCCGTGTCATTACAGGAGCATGTTCTGTTTGCGATGGGAACTCTGGAATAACGACCCGACTGAACTGCTGTAGGAAAACAGTTGAGACGGGCACAGGTAAAAGCCCTTCGCTTAGTCTCCGAAGAAATTGTGAAGCAGTATAGAGGGATCCCTTCAGGGGGTGGAATAGCTAGGGCTAGGCCTGAACACGACAAGCAGTTTATTTAAGTGTAAAAAAATAGGACTGGGGGAACGACACTTAGCTGACTCATTTACAAAGCAAGATAAGCTGCTACCCCAAATGCTGTGAAATTCTCTCTCTCTCTCTCTCTCTCTCACACACACACACACACACACACACACACACACAAAAACAGTGGAAATTCCTTCTTTCATAGAGAGATGAATGGTTCAATAAAACTAAGAGGGACTTTTGACCCATCACTAGAAAACGCACTTTTGTTGTTGTTGGCATCCGTCTAACTCAAGAGACAATGGAGGAGCGCACTTTGTGGGGTTAAGTCAAACTGTTGGACAGTTGCCGTGCCTGCTGTGGTTGTAGCGAACGATACAGGAGAGACATGTTTTGTTGCAGCTGGGGCAGATGAAGTTACCCAGCTGTACTGCTGCAGATGCACCATGGCGTTTCTTCAGTCTGCACTCCTCCCAGCAGTCATTTCTCCTCTGGTCACTGCTGAGGATACACAACATGACTATCTCCATGCACTGCGGTCATCTGCAAAGGATTCCCACACGGCGGGGCTGATGTCACCCGCCTTCATTGCCTCATGTGCAGACATCTTTGTAATACGGACTTGGTCTGCCTGAACCAGCTCCCCACAGAGCACATTCTTGGGGATCCTGCCATCTTTCGTTCTGTGAAACACACTAAAGGATCAAGATCCAGCAAAGCCACTTGCCTTAACCCACACAGCATTTTGAACATAGAAAAGTATGAAGCATTTTTGAAGCTTCTGTATGTTTTACAGGTTGGTTCTACATGCAACCAGTTTTTAAGCCCATGTTCGTCAGAAGTGCCCCACATAATCCATTTAGATCAGCCTTCAGAAGGTCTGGGTCTAGTTCAATGCAGACCAGGATTCAAGTTCTGCTGGATCAGTCATGAAAATGGAGCCGTCAGTGCTACCATTTCCACATTTGGTGCTACTTAACATACGTCAAGAATGACAGCAGCAACAACACCTCATTCTGAAGCCCTGGATTATTCTGCATCTGAATAGTGAATCCAGGAAATTTTGAAGTTTTGGTGGAATAAAATAGTTTTCAAGGCTGAATGACAGTTCATTAAAGCATGTGGTAAAGATCTTGGACTGTACCACTTCTGAATATAGACAGAGTATAAATTGCTCCATATTTTAAAAATAAATATATATATTTCATGCACGAGGAAGATGAGCTTTTTTAGAAGATACCACTTGCTTTACTGAACTGTCATTCAACCTTGAAAACTATTTTATTCCATCAAAAGTGCCTATAAGTTACCTAAAATTCTACTTTAAACTAGTTTCCAAACCTCAGATTATTTTAGAAAGCTAACATTTCTTAGGTTGGCTCCTCTAAAAATGCATACAAAAGGTTTAGCTAGTAATAACTATTAAAACCCTAGATATTTTTTTTTAAAAAAACTATATTGTAACTCCACTGGGATCACTGAGGAGGATGAGGGGAACTATGAACCCAACTATATGGGAATATCCAATAAATTTTCTAAGTACAACAAACTAAATTTAGAAAATTGGCATGATTTCATGCAGGAAACCTTTCAAATATTAGTGATCCAAATGGAATCCACCCCCTCACATAAAAGATATCATGCAAATCTGTCAGCAAGTGTACCTGCCATACTGTGAAGACATGTTTCATCGACCTTTTTTAAATAGTGTTCAGAACCAAACTAATATTCTTCTAAGTAACATTTAGAGAGCTTTTTCCTATCAAAGGATATTGGCTTGGCTCCAGTACTAAATTCCTACTATCCTGGCATGTCTTCATCTTCTGTTGTTGTTTATTCTTTAGGTCTACTCTTGTGCCAAATTAAAAATGCAGAGGTTTAGTTCTGCCAGAAAATTCTGTCTTCCTCCTTGTTCAGAGCCAATCAATCCTCTATTTGCCCAGAAATATTGTGTAGTAATGAGATGAATGTGAACGGTAGAAAACTCTCCATAATATCATGAAGCAAAGTGTTATGTAGGGCTACCCTGACTGGCTCAGTCAGCCAATGGAAAGATTTGACACTGAAGCTGATGCGCTAAGACTTGAAACTCATTTCCCCTCCCCAGAAAACCCCCAAATCTGAAATAATTGGGCTCTTCCTCCTTTGAATTACAATCCAGAGAGGTTGTCTTAAATCCCCTTAATCTCTTTATAACCAACAGTTTTATCCCAACTTCCTCTGTGGGATACACCCACAAGCCCTCCACACCACAATTTAAGAACTCTGCCAGCAAGGAGATGTGAGCCACACACTATTTTAAACAGATTAATCAAATGCAGGAAGTAGCTCAGTCACTACAGCATGAGACTCTTAATCTCAGGGTTGTGGGTTAAAGCCCCTTGTTGAGCAAAATATTTCTCCACTGCAGGGGGTTGGACTAGATGACCCTCATGGTCCGTTCCAACTCTATAATTCTAAATTATATAATTCTACAACTAAATCATTTTCACAGTAGACTCACTGAAATTAATTGACTTTGGTCCATTGACGCCAATGGATCTTCTCTGGTATGAGAACATGCCATCCTGGGTTCCTTGAAGAGGAAGGGTGGTATATAAATTTTATAGATAAAAATAGTAGAATAATTTTAATTTTAAATTTTACTTTCTACAAAGATATTCAGAAATTCATTACTCTTGCACATTGCAAAATGGGAACCTGGGGTCCTTGGAAAGAAAGGGCAGGATATACAGTGGTGCCTCGGGTTACATACACTTCAGGTTACAGACTCCACTAACCCAGAAATATTACCTCGGGTTAAGAACTTTGCTTCAGGATGAGAACAGAAATCGTGCTCTGGCGGCGCGGCAGCAGCAGGAGGCCCCATTAGCTAAAGTGGTGCTTCAGGTTAAGAACAGTTTCAGGTTAAGAACAGACCTCCAGAACGAATTACCGGTAAGTTCTTAACCTGAGATACCACTGTAAATTGTATAAAGAAATAGAAAAATAAAATACAAAACATTGACTACCACCCTGGATGATTATTTTTTTTAACCAACTCTAAACTCTAAAGCATCCAACTTGTAAAAAAAAGGTAAAGGTAAAGTACTCCTGGACAGTTAAGTCCAGTCAAAGGTGACTATGGGGTGTGGCACTCATCTTGCTTTCAGGCCGAGGGAGCTGGCGTTTCTCCACAGACAGCTTCCCGGGTCATGTGGTCAGCATGACTAAACCGCTTCCAACTCAACAGAACACCGTGATGGAAACCATCACAAGGAAATGCCATTTACCTTCCTGCTACAGAAGTACCTATTTATCTGCTTGCACTGGTGTGCTTTCGAACTGCTAGGTTGGCAGGAGCTAGGACAGAGCAATGGGAGCTCATAACAGGATCCATAACAGGATCCAATTAATGTAAGCATTCAAGTAACAAGAATATGTTGGATTTAGATAAAAGTATTGGATTATGTATACGTATTCAATATCATGGGAACATCAGGCGATCATACCTGGAGCCAGACCAAATGTGATAGCAGCCGTGATCATGTTTACACATAGGGGGTGATGTCTACTTTTTCTTTTATACCAAAAGAGAAACTCATATCAGGAGAACTGAACTCTACCTCTATTGCTCTCTTACCAGTTTGGCTCCAATACAGTGGTGCCCCGCAAGACGAATGCCTCGCAAGACGGAAAACCCGCTAGACGAAAGGGTTTTCCGTTTTCAATGCGCTTCGCAGGACGAATTTCCCTATGGGCTTGCTTTGCAAGACGAAAATGTCTTGCGAGTCTTGAGATTTTTTTTCCGCTCCCCCCCCCTTTTTCTAAGCCGCTAAGCCTTTAATAGCCTTTTAGCAGCTAATCCGCTAAGCTGCTAAGCCTTTAATAGCCGCTAAACTGCTAATAGCGCTAATCCGCTAAGCCGCTAATAGGGTTGCTTCGCAAGACGAAAAAACCGCTAGACGAAGATACTCGCGGAACGGATTAATTTCGTCTTGCGAGGCACCACTGTACTAGAAGTGATCTGATCTGTGTCTTCAGGAAGAAACGGCGGTAAGGTGGAGTGTGTCCAGCTCCCCTTAACCTGTACACCCAACTTAATTGCAGAAACAGATCTATTTATGCCCTGCTTTCTGTGAACACACACAGCTGCCTTTAACACATCTCATGAGGACCACCCTCATACTTTCACAGCTTTTCACATTTACACAGTCAGAGCACATTATATGTTGGTCCGTAGACATATATCTAGATTTCTAATTTTTTAACCTAATTGACATCTAAACAGCAGGTTTAGAACCGAATTGGAAGGAAAGGTCACCTGCCTCATTTTGGAACCTTCATGCCTTCTTCTTCAAGTTCAAATACAGAGATAAATAGCTGGTCATAAACCATGGAAGAGGTATCTAGTGGCCAAACTAAGGATTCAAAAACATATAATTCATTTCAGTGATAAGTGCATTTAAACATTTCTGTCACAAGTACCTTGAAATATGGCTACATTAGCACATGAAAGTGCCCTGATAGCCTGCTTTCAATAGTAACAGAGTGCTATGTGAGAAGCATGTAAGGCTGGTGGTCAGCACCTAGAGAAAGATTCAGGTTAAAGATCAGAACCAAGACACATGCATGTCTTTTGGTATTTTGTTTTTAAATCATCTTAACATAGTTTTTAATGTTTTGCCCAACAGTTTTGGATCGGGACAATTCTTGTTAAAAAATAAAGTGAAAACTATTTGAATTCTCTCTCTCTCTCTCACTCTCTCTCTCTCTCTCTCTCTCTCTCTCACACACACACACACACACACACACACACAAAACGCAGCAGGGGCAGGGAAAGGAATCTGTTGTATAATATGTACTGTTGACATTTTCTTGCAACCCAGAAATATTAAATTATAGCAACATTGCACAATACTAAAATGGGAGGAGAGAACCTAATGCATGCTTCCAGATTTTTTAGGATTATTCACCAATTCCTTCTGGTTGTGAAATATAACACTGTATTCAATATTAGTTTCTTCAGACCTCGTAACTGAGTGCTAAATGATTCACATACTCTGATTTGGAGTCAAATGTACTACTCTCCCCCCCCCCCCATTATCATTGATAATCCAAGAGGAAAGGAAATCTACAAATACAATACAAACTTTATTAAAGATTTTCCAAGCAGCTGCAAGAATAAAGATGCTTTTGTGATGGCAACTTCACCTAAATATATTTTTTAAATATTACAAAATGAATTTTACCAATGGCTTTGGTAAAGGTTTTGTTTCCTGAAAAATGTTGCTGAAAAATCATAATGCCTGTGACTTCTGCAAACATAGCAGAATTCTCAGTTTCTCTAGTTTCCTAAAGAATGTAAAAGGCCGCTGTATAAATAATTTATCATTATATAACCTATTTTAATAATGCACTTAAAAACAAAACTAAAGCATTTCCTATTTTAAGTACATAGGACTTTTTTGTATGTTTGGAACAGCATGTTTTTGATTATTTAAAGATAACGTTCTAAGCTACATCTGAGTCACATAGCTACCATATTTTAGCAAACCACAACAAAAAGTACCTTATATTAACTATAGATGAGTAGTCAGTGAGTCAGAGAATACTTAAAAAGGGTTGGGGGTGGCAAAAGACAAGAGTCAGATATAAATGTTTTATTAGAGTTTTAAAGTTCAAAATATAGATAAGACTGAATTGGAGCACAAGACCAACAGACTGTTTTGTGGCTACAGCTTTCTCTCTTTATTGGATTGAAGTCTAACATACAGAAGGAGTGCTGGAACATAGTCAATGGCAAGAACCAGAGTATTCAACAGCAACTTAACATTTATTTTTATATTTGAGATTTATGGTTAGAAAACTATTTACAATTGTCACCTTAGTCCCACCACACCCCTCTAAGATATTAACAAACTAGTAGCCTCACCCAAAAATTGTAAATTTGTGGGAAGAGGCCAGTCAGACACTGCTATGATATTGCCAGCAAATATGTTTAGAGCAGGGGGAAGCTGAAACCCAGAATAGTGGAAAAGCTTTGTCACAAAATAATAACTACAATATTTGCAATGTCAGCTGGACATCATCCAGCAGTAGACATAAAACTATGGAGAAGCTAAGAGGGAATCGTGTCTTAAATTACAACTAAATAGCCGGGAATTGCCTTGCACCAGCAACTTACTATGCATTAATGCCAACTGTAAGACAAATGCAACTTTTCTCATCTGCAGAAACTATTTCTGGGAATCAGTGTAATACAGCACTACCATGCTTAAAAAAAACATATTGGTTTGACCCTCTGGGCCATTTTAGATAGGGCTGCCATGTGTCCCGGACATAACCGAAATTTCAAAGGTAGAATTGACATCTGGGTGGAATTTCTGAAAAGCAGTGTTTTGTCATGGATCTTAGGCAAGTCAATCAAAAAATTGCTTTCTTTGGCATTTTTGTAAAGAAAAGCTCAACAACTTTCGGGATGTCCTGGTTTTTACTTTTTTAAATATGGCAACCCTATTTTAGACATAACAATCTCTTTCCCGTTCTATTATACAGTGGTACCTCAGGTTACAGACACTTCAGGTTATGCGATTTCAGGTTGCGCACCGCACCAACCTGGAAGTACCGGAACAGGTTACTTCCGGGTTTCGGCGCTCGCGCATGCAAATAACCACTAAGTCGCGCTTTGCGCATAAGCGCCAAATCATGAGCCACGCGTGCGCAGACATGGCGCTGCGGGTTGCGAACGTGCCTCCTGCACAGATCACGTTTGCAACCCAAGGTTCCACTGTACCAAGAATTAGTGTGCTTCTGTGCTCTCCATCCCCTTACCTCTAAGTTCATGCACCAGAATTAAGGACTTCCAAGACTTGCTTGACTATAGCTTCTTAATAGTTCACAATTAGGAAAGTGTAGTTTAATCGCAAGCCATAAAGTACCGGTATGCATGTTTTCCCTTTTGATGAGGGCAGTTATTTCAGCGACTGAGCAGCTTACATAGCCAGGCCCGGATTGAGAAAGTGCTTCCATGCACTCTCTCCTCCACAGTAGCTTCACATCCAGCTAGCTGGGCATTCTGGCAGTAGCTCTAAAGCTACTTCCTCTGAGTCTTCATCCAAGCACACTTCAGGCCCTGGAGCAGCGCAGAAACCTGACACGGTAGTAGTAGTGGACCTGCTGATATACTAATATAGCAAATGTAGCAAATAAACAAATAATTCAAGAGTGCAAAGGATCTGGCTGCTGTCTTATATATGGACCCAATAATTAACATATCAAATTACTGTAATATGCTGTATGAAGAGATGCCCTGGAAGAACGCACCAGCCCAATTACTAGGTTTATTTGGTCCCAGGATGCATGTCTGACACATTTGAATTTGTCAGCGGTCCATTTTGAGGCACTCTACT